GTTTTTTTTTTTTTTTTTTTCTCCCGAAATAAATATTTGATAAACTCTCCAAAGCACATGGAAAGCAAAGGCTCTACATCTACGACAAAAGCAATATAATGAATAAAGAACTGAGTCCTCTGTGCCACTGAAACATGATGTAATAGTCCAGGAGCAGTTTAAGTAGGAGCTAGGCATGTCTAGTTGTGGAGTTGAAAACATCTCAGGAAAGTGTTCTTTTCTGGCATTCCATGCGTACTCCTATCACTCAGAGAGCATGGAGTTTTATGGGGTTTCGAGCTTTGTTCCTGGAGGTTGCAAGAGACTTCCTTCTAGGCATTGACCAGAAACAAAAAAAAAAACCAAAATGAAAATGATATTTAAAAATTTCTGAACTAAGAACTCTATGTATTTCTACCTTTATGTTAACTCTGATCAACTTTAATAAAACCAGTGATGCAGGATGGGATAGAATCTGGAATTAGTCCTCAGCTAGAATACACATGTGAAAAAGGAAACAATGGTCTGTTGTATTTGGCTAGGAAAAAAAAATGGATTTTGTTATTTTGTTCTGGATGAAAATGAAGGATTGTTGAGATTAAAAAAAAAAAAAACAAACCCTCAAAACTTTAGCAGTGTTTCTGTATCTGTTCTCAGCTGAGTACCTCGGGCAATCCAAGTGTGAGCTATGTAATACAGTCATTACACATGATACTGAAGTTTTTGTTTTCTCGTATCAGGTCATTGTTGACTGGTCTGTACCCACCCAGCTCTGGTACCATTATTATTAATGGAAAGGACATATGTAGTGATCTGTCTGCCATCAGGACAGAGCTGGGTGTTTGCCCACAATATGATGTCCTGTTCAACATACTAACTGTGCGAGAACATCTGCTGTTTTATGGATCAGTGAAGGCACCTGGCTGGACAAAGGAACAGTTGAATCAGCAAGTCAGTGGGTAAGTTTTTCTTTCATTTGTTGAAATCTGCCAAGTAAATTGGTAATGTCTCTTGCAAGACAGTCAAACAAGAAAGTGCTACAGCAAAATTGCAAGTAGAAGCAAATAGAAGCTGCAGGTTTTCTATGAGAACTTCATGTTCTGAAGTCATGGCTTGAAAATAGATTTACTAGTTTCTAACCTTTACTTGAATGTATTTGTAGTGAAACTGTCAATATTTGAAACCCTGGTATAAAGAACCCTCAAATTAACATGTTATGACTGGAGTGGAGGTGGTAAGTAGTCCAGCAGCTGTAGTAGTTCCTGCCTCATGCTGGCTGCCTTACCTCCCTCCATGCTGGAGAGGCAGATAGTAAACTGCTGTGCCTTCACCCTGAGTTTTCAGATAAGTCAACACTGGCTGTGTATTTATTATTCTGTTTTCCATCACCTGCAGTAAAGGGAGGATTGGAAAACCAGAAAAGGCAGGTAAAGGCAGTACTTGTTATAATCTTTTTAAATAGGCCATCAACTTTTTCCTTTGTCGAATACAGACTTCAAATGTGTAACAAGTGAAGGAGTTTGAAAACAAACAATCCTATAGGAAAAACAAACCGGAGCTCTGACATCACCTCAGAGGATTTTCCGCTTGTCAGGTTGAGAATGTTTCCTAGTAGTTTTAGGCTGGTACTTGTTGATACAGGACTAGATCATCTTCATTTTTCCATCATGTATATTAAACCACTAGTAAACCATACAAGGTGAGATCTTGTTCACCAGTAGCAAACTGGTTTATTTTCTGAAATTCAGGAATAAAATGTATGTTTTTCTAATAGTGTGACAGTGTAAATAGTTTCTATTTACCTTCTGCTTCATGTTAGACTGTGTGAAGGACTGGGCACTTCCGTGCTTCAACAGAAATAACTGCCAAGTTGATGTGATTTCTCCTTACATGTACACTTAGGCATACGCAGACACATTTGTGGCAAAGTGGCTTTCCTTTTTAGTTGGTATCAGAAAAAAACTTTACTTAAAAATTTGATCTAAAAATTTCTGGTGTGAGACACTGCATTCTCTCTAGAAAAAGAGAGACAACTCTAGAACAATAAACCCAACCCAAACATAGGTTTTGGTTTAAAATTTATGCAAAATGATATCCTGTATTTTATTGTACTTAGACTGCTGAATTGTCATTTCAACAGCAATCTGTCATACTAATGGCATATAAGAATATTCAGGACTCTACAGGCCTTGTTACTAAGAAAAAATAATTTTTTTCAAAGGCAATGAATTCTTCAAAATATTTCAGACAAATTAGAAATGCAACAAAACAATGAAACAAAATTTGCTTTTCATTAAGCAAAAAAAGGGCCTCCAAAGAGATTAAAAATAATTTTCCTGGATATATCTATACAATAATTATATGAACCTGTTTTCTTTAAAATGAAAAATTCTCTCAGGTTAAATGGCATGGTTTACGGACTGCATATTCATTCAAATGATTTAGGGGGATTAGTTTAGGACTGTTGAGTCTTTAATGTCTTGCTTGCCAGGCTCATAGATACTGAAACCTTTTAGGTCAATGAGTGGATGTTCAATGTGATGAAAAATAAATCAGTGGTCTTTCAGTGCTGCCTTTGTTGACAATGTTTCCACACACTGTCCAGAGGCAAGTTTGTCACAAGGCAAGAGTTGAAAAGTCAATGGCTGTGAGATATCTCCCAGTTCTTAACACAGGAAGTAGATTAGATTGGATTAGGTAGTATTACACTACATGGGGATAACTAATCTGTTTAGATGACAGAAACATGTCTTCAAAAAAACCCCAACCGAATCCCAAAGCAAGCAGTGTTACCTTATTTACTTCAAATGACTATACATTTCTGAAAAACTCAGGCATTTTTAAAGATTTGTTATGTAGCTACAAAAACTGAAGCACTGTTTGAGTTATGAAATAACCAGCTTTGCCATGGCTTAAGAGACTATACTCTAGTTTGCTGAAATTGTTGGAGAAAGTGGCATTTATTTTATCAGAATTAATTTCAAAATTATCTGTTTTTATCCTGCACAGTACTTTCCTGAACAATGCTTATCCAGAATTTGTATTTCAGGTGGTGATGAGTGTTTATAGGTAGAGAGATAATCGCATTCCTCTATACGTTCTCGTCACCAAATAGTATAATGCCAGAGGTAGTGTTTTTTCACTTTCTATTTACAGTGACTTTTCAGTAATTCAGCTCTGACTGGACTTGTTGTGACTGGAGAAACTTTTTCAAAATTTTTCCCATTTCTGAACTTCAGCGCTCTGGAAGATGTGGATTTATCCCAGCACCAGTACAAACCTGTTGGAGCTCTTTCTGGGGGAATGAAAAGGAGGCTGTCGATTGCTATCTCATTCATTGGAAACTCAAAGACAGTTGTTCTAGATGAGCCCACCAGTGGAGTAGATCCATGTTCTCGCCGTAGCATCTGGAATGTTCTTCTGAAGTATAAAGCTGGTACAAACCTTATATGCATAATTTGCTGCTTACTTTCCTTTTTGTAATTCTGTTTCAGTTAATTTAATCAGGATATTCAGAATAATAGTAGTGCTATTCAGTAACTAAATACGTTAATTTCAGAGGTAAACTTTAAACTGGAAAAATTTAAAGCAACCCAGTAAGATTATGAAAATTATCTGCTATCTCACAGAAGGATGCCCAGTCTGACAGAAGGTTGAGCTTAGTTTTGAGCCTCCTCTGAAGTTTCTCTTCTCTTACCATTTTCTTTTTTGTTAGCTTCTCAAAATTATTTTCTGGTTTTCATTTCTGATTTTGCACATATCTGTGTAGACATGCATATATACTTCTAATGAAAATAGAATCATCAGTCAGTTTGCTACATTAATTTTTAAATGCCATAAGGTAAAAACCTGATTGTGGGAAGCAAACTCTTCAGCTAGTGAGCACTCAATTAGCTGTAATAACTCACAGGGAATGATCCATTGAAACAGACACTGCTGTTATGTGTTTTTAAGGTAACTCTTACGCTGTTAAAACAGCTTCAAGTTGTAATGCTTTATATTGCATACAATGTATAAGGCAATGCAAACTTAGACCTGAATCTAACTTAGACTGTAAATCTGAATGCAGATTTTGTTTGTCTTGCAGTTATGTTTTGAAGGGAGCTTAAACACGTTCCCTTAAGGTTGAAGGATCCTCATGAAAGCAAGATGTGTTTCTCTAGAAATCGGGTTTTGTAAACATATACCAATATTTCTGATGCAGGTTGCACACTGATCTTTACCACTCACCATCTTGATGAGGCAGAGGTGCTCAGTGATCACATTGCTATCCTGCAGCGTGGCCAGCTGAGGTGCTGGGGTTCTCCCTCTTATCTCAGAGAAACATACGGCCAGGGACACAGTCTAACGCTGACAAAAAAGGTATGCTAAAAATGTACTGTAGGGAACTTCATAGTGCTTACCAAGTAATGTCTGTGTATATTTTAAGGGAGGTGTATGTCCCTGCCAGGAAGTAATATGTGATACAGATTATTAGAGAGCCTGCAAAACATGTTTTTACTAGCTTTGTTGGTGTTTTGTGTGGGTGGCACTAATATTATTATTATTATTAATAATAGTAATTACTATTATAATAATTATTATTATTTAGAAGAACACAATGACATCTTTGAACATGATGAATTTTAATACTTAGTCGAAAAGGGCTTTGTCTCACAGTTTTTTATTCCTGGGAAGTAGTCTCTGTGTCCCAGGTTGAATGCAATTTCATCATTGAAAATTTTCCTATATGAATTCTGCCACCAAGTCCCATTATTCTGGTAATATTTAATTTTTTTGTGTATTATTATCTTTCTTTCCTCATAGCCCTCTGTGTTTGAAATCCAGGATCCTAAGCATACTGTTCAGATCACATCTCTTGTACAGACCCACATCCCAGAAGCTTTCTTGAAAGAGAACAGTGGGACTGAGCTGACCTATGTGATTCCAGAAAGGGCAGATAAGACCTCTTTTAAAAGTCTTTTTCAGGCTTTAGATCAAAGCCTGCATCATCTACATGTGACTGGCTATGGCATTTCTGACACCACCTTGGAAGAGGTACTTCTAGTTTTTCTGCATAATGGCATTTTCTTGGTTAGAAGAACCTGTATTAGCTTTCAGCTATTCTTGATTGTATCTTTCATATTGCATAACACTCCGTTGTGAGAAGCATGTTTTCAAAACAAACAAACACCCCCCCATCCAAACAGATAAACAAAAAAACAAAACAAAAAAAAATCCAATTCCTCAAAACAAAGTCAGGCAAAATGTATATCTTACAGTTTCATGGGACTGTTAATTTCAGCACTCACTCTACTGTGACTTATTTCAAGAATCTGATACAAAGAAATAGTTTTCAAACTCCTAAATGTTAGTTTCTTCATTTACTTAAGGAAAATTCAATGTGTCATTGATTTCATGAGAACCACTGCTGTTGTCCTAAATCTCTAATGTTGGAATGAGCTTTGAACTTGCAAGCCTTAGAGGTTCAGCTCAGGTAGCTCTTTGGACAGAGAAAAGAATTGCTAAGAAAACACTTTGATTTATGAAGTTGTAAAGCTTAGAACTTAGCAAAACTTTGTGGCAAAATCCCTAAACAGTACTTTGTGTGTATAATTAAAGACACTTAAATATATGTATACATGAACATATATATACACGCTACTTGAGTATATATATACATTGTGTGTGTATATACCAAACAGACCAGAGAAGGAAACTTACGCTGCTTCTTTGCTGTGTTTTGGCTTTAATATGAGAATAATTATGATAACAATCTGATATTTTAGTTGTTGCTGAGTAATACTTTTCAGTCTCATGCTCTGCCAGTGAGAAGGGGCACAAGAAGCCGGGAGAGAGAACAGCTGACCCAAAGTAACCAAAGGCATATTCCATACCACAGAATACCATGCTCAGTATATAAACTGTGGGGTGTTGGCTGGGAGGGGCTGATTGCTGCTCAGGGAGGTATCGGTCAGTAGCTGGTGAGAAATTTTTTTGTGCATCACTTGTTTTATTTTCTTTGAATTTTATTTCTCTCTCTCCTCTTTTCATAATAATAATATTTATTTAAATATAAGAAGAACAATAATAAATTCAGTTATTAAACTTTTCTTATCTCAACCTTCAAGTTTTACCTTTTTTATCAATTCTTCCCACCATCCTATCAGGGGGCAGTTGGAGAGAGTGAGCTACTGGCTGCATGGTACTTCACTTGCTGGCTGGATTTAAACCATGATGGTCCTTTTCGGTGCCCAATGTAGGGCATGGAGGGTTGAGATAATGACAGATCTGACCAGACTCTGTGGAAATGAATTTGTTATAAGCATTCATTGCATCAGTGTAATGTCTGTCTCTGGTCTCAGTGTTGATTATTTGCTCTTAGAGTTGTTGTACTTGGTATCAGAGTAGCGTTATGACATACCTTACTTGCAGTGTGCATTCACTGTTTTGATGTTTATTGCCTTTGGGGCCTGGCCTAAGGTTCACTTTTAGTTGTACTTTGTAATATTGGATTTGATATGATAGAATTGCTGGTTGTGAACTGATCTGGTATGTGTTCTCAGCTATGCCATTGCCTTTATAATTTGGGAGCCATCTATTGGAAACTATTAATAATTCCATGTTTTACCTTTTCTCCTTAAAGAGCCAACTTATGGGTGTCCTGGGTTCAGCTACAGCAGTCATTTTTTTCTCCTTCTTAGTAGCTGGTGCAGTGCTGTGGTTTTGACCTTCAGTCTGGGAACAATGCTGATAACACCGATGTTTTTAGTTGTTGCTAAGTAATGTTTACTCCGACCAAGGACTTCTCTCAGTCTCATGCTCTGCCAGGGAGGAGGGGAAGCCGGGAGGAAGCAGAGACAGGACACCTGACCCAAACTGGCCAAAGGGCTATTCCATACCACAGCACGTCATGCCCAGTATAGAAACTGGGGGGAGTTACCCGGAAGGCCCAGATCGCTGCTCGGGTCGGGCTGGGTATTGGTTGGCGGGTGGTGAGCGGTTGTGTCCTTTTCCCTTGTTATTCCTCTTATCATTATTATTGGTAGCAGTAGTGATTTGTATTATACCTTAGTTACTGGAGAGCTGTTATCTCAACCTGTGGGAGTCACATTCCTCTGATTCTCCTCGCCCACCCCCTGGGAGCAGGGGAAGGAAGGAAAGGGTAAGTGGGGAGTGAGCGAGCGGCTGCGTGGTTCCAAGTTGCCAGCTGGGCTTGAACCACGACATCTTCCCACATCTAGTACTGTGGTCAGCTGGAACACAAGATCCCTCAGGGAAGTTACTCATCTTTCTGAGTTTTAAAGAAAATGATGCACTTTAAGCCTGTCAGACATCACTTTTGAATTGTATTTTTGCTGCATGAGCTATACATAGGAATTAATGGGGTCAGATATTTGAAACTGCATCAGTAGTTCTGGGTTTGCTTTGCAAGTTTAGACTTGTTTGTCTTACATATCTGTGGAAAAAATACAAAGAGAACTCAAATAGTGCAAGTCAACATAAAATGACAATTGTTCATGAAATTTATTGAACCAATATGCCACTATGTGGAGCTTCTGTATCCTGAAGTGGTCCACTGGGAGACGTCTTTAGGACTATGTTGATTTGCAACATAGGTTTTTAGGACCCTGCACCAGCATAAATGGTCTTGTTTTGCACACTTGTTTTTTAAACTACAGTCCAAAGAATGCTCTACCAGCAAGTATGTGGTTTCTTTTGAAGCTAAGCTCTATATAACTGAGTCATTTAGGAAAAAACAAAGAAACCAAAAGACATCTCTTCAGTGTTTATCTTATAAATGACCAAAGTACACAAAGCTAACATGGCAAGCATTTGCTATGGCAGGGGGATAAATCACAGAAGTTTAATAAACATGTTACATGGTGCTATAAATCATGTTCCTGATATACAATTCTATGAGACAAGTCAAAAGCTTCTTGAAAAATTGTTATTTTCTTCCAAATCATGTAGGGTGATTAACATGCTATAAAAAAGAATCCTCTTCGGTGATTAACTTCATAGATTGTGCATTAATTTATATATTGAGAACCTTTTTTATTATGTCCCTGTGGGACATCATAGAGCTTTTTGGAACTGGCGTGTGTGAACTAAGTGTGAAGTTGTCGTGAAATACAAGAAGCTTCCTCAGTGTTCTGTATCTGTTATTCAGCTGAGAGTTTGCTTTTGGCTGTTTTCTTCAGGGAAGGTTAAAAAAAAAGGGTTTAAAGGTGGTATTAGATATTGATGTATCATTCTTCAGCTTGAAGACTTAATACATTAATTTGGGGTGATTTCTGTCATCTCTGCATCTCATCATTAGTTACTGTTGTAATCTCAATTCTCCATTTTCTTATCAAAAAGCCTCTTTGCATTGGCAACTAAATGGGTAGTACATAATAGCACTATTTAGTCTATTCAAACAATTCAATCTGGAAACAAAGGACTCTGACTGTAAAGGAAGAAATGTGTTATAACTTTTATTTTATCTTTTCTTTTTGTTCTCTCATACAGTCAGCATTATTCTTTCTCAGTCAGAGGGACACTTGCACTCTCTATAAGTCATACTCTTCAAGGGAAAACAGGTTTCCATTCATACTTCAAAGGATTCATGAAGTTCTAACAAAATCAACTCCTGAAACCTTATATCTCATTAATATATTTGCTTCATTTGGGGTTTTAAATATGTTTTCCAACCATTTGTATTTGTGTACTTTATAATACTTGTAATCCAAAGAGTGTTAGTAGAACTAAAAGGAGGATGGAAGAGTGGTTAATTAAATTGAATGGAAGATATTTCACTTTCTGGCAACCCTGGAGGTTTCAAAGCTTATGGCTTTCTTGCTTTGATTTGAGGAGAGAACAAAACCATTGAAACATCTTTGGAACATAAGGTGTGTCTAAATACCTGTTAATAACGTACTACTTTAAATTCTCCTCCTTGAAATGACCAGAGAGTTTGCTCCAAACTTTCCAGGGAAAGCCGTATACCTTCTTGAAATAGCTTAGGTTTAGAACACTATGTAGCTTCTAATGTGATTCTGTTTTGTGGAGGATGTTCTAACCATCTCTGATGGTCTGAAAGAAGCAGCCAGGGCAGTGGCTGCTCCTTGCAAGAAGGGCAGTCCTTCTCAGTAGCCAATATGACTACCTGCTCTCTCCATCCCCAGGAGTGGTTGAGGTGGTCCTTCAGTGCCTGGCATGGAGCCAGCCTGCAGGGGCAAGTGCTGGAAGTAAGCCATGCTACTCCTTACATATTTAAAGCGCTTTCCTCAAAAGCATACAATTTCTTCCTGTGGCTTTGAGCTGTGCCAAATGTCTGTCTCCCTCTGTGAGTGTGTATCTAAGTTTGACACCTGGCTAGCAGATAACAATTGACCTTCTTGCAAAAGTTCCTCAGTTAAGTCATCCACAGTGAGTGGCTCTAAAACTGCTTCTGCATCATTCTGCTTAGTGAAGCATACCCATAGCTGTGGAAGGCTGTGCTCAGCATGTACTGCCTGGAAGATAATATAAACCCAATGTGAACAGAAAATGTAGTAGGCCCCAGAAATGTTGCTAAAATATCAGTCAGCGCTTTTAGATGATAAAGGACTGTCTATAGGTGGTATTCTGGAGGTTTTGTCCCCCCTCTTCATTTTCTCTTTCTTTCAGCCACCTTGGTTTTCTGCACTTTTTCCCTTCAGGTGAAGATGTATTTTAGGAATGATAACTGCAGCGAAGTGCCAAGGATACTGTGCCACTCTATCAGAGAACCAGGCTTGTTTTTATGAGGCTGTCCCAAAGTAAGAATCAGGAAGAAATGAGGTAGTAGCTGACTAGTACAGCTTAGAGGGGTACAGGAAATGTCTATTTCCACATGTTCTCTCCTCTACAGACAGCCATCTGGAAAACACCTTGGTTAGATACGGACTTGCAAGCCATAGCAGAAATTAAGCAGGAATTGCTAAGACATGTAGGAGGGGCTAGGATAATTTATCCAGCCTTTTAGGTATGGCAAGAGCACATTGTGTCTCTGTCATTATGTCTAATCCTGACTTTTCCAGATCTGTGTGTTTTGGAGGGTACTTACTCTGCTAATAACATTGTTAGGCTAATACTACTTCTGTCCACAATATCCTGTGCACCATTAGATAATTTATCATGTCCCTGTACAACCTAGTCCCTGATGATTCCCATGCTTAATGGAACGTTTGAGAACTGTCTGGATACTGTGGGGAAGACTGGGCAGTGTGGGTGGCCGCCTGTCTTTAGAGATCTGTCAGAACAGCTGTGTCAGTGAAGCTACAATGGACACAGTCGGTATTAGAAAAATGTTTGGTGGTTTTGTTTCTTTCCTAAGGCATAGTTGCATTCTTTCTTTAAGTCATTAAAGAAGAAAAAGTCTGTCTGCAGCCCCTTGCAGGGATTTTGACACTGAATTGAGTATATGCAGGCAACACTTTCTAGTGTAGCCTTCGTCCTAGCCAGAGAGGATCAATTCCTTTGTCGTTTTAGCTGGTTCACTTCAGTTTGCTTGATGGCACTGGTGTGCAGAGGAACCATCAGCAAGCAGGTCCAAGGCAACAAATTAGAATGTGACTTTGGGCAGTTAGCATTTCCCTTCAGAGTCTAACATAAAAATGTCGGGAGGTATTAATTTCTTCTGTCCTTGCAGTTATTAATGACCAAAAGTGTTCCCTGAAAGTTGGCAGGTAACAAGTGCAATCAATAATCACTGTTAAATAGCAATTACATTGACTACACAAAATATGGTTATTGTAACAGTCAGACCTTAGCAAGTCAAGAAATATCTTTCTGCAGCTATAAAGTACTTCACATTGACCATTTTTATTTTCTATTGTATAAGCTCCTTGAAAACAAGGAATTTTTTGTTATAAGTGCTATCAGGTTCTCAGGTTCTTTTGTGGGAAGAAATAAATAGTTTCTTAATGATTTCTGAAATTTGCACTGTCATTATAATCTGTCTTGGAGCTCAAGCCAAACAGACATTAAAAAGAAGGAGGCGGCTTTAATCAAAAGAAAGCAAAACTTAGTTGTACTTTTGCTGTTTAATTAGAGATGCTCTGTTAATTTTTCTTTTCTTTTTATCTGAAATATCTAGATCACTGTTTAACTTGTAGTTCAGGTTAAGATAAAAAAATGTTAATTTTATTTTTCACCTGAGCTTACAAGAAATGAGGTAAGCATTAGTAACTGACTCCCTATGAAAGCTGTTCCAAGCTTCTGCAAGGCTGAAGGACTGATGAATTAAATACATCTCTATGAAATTCAAAGGATGTTATGTGGGCAGAACTGTGAAACAGGACTAAGCAAGAAGCAACAGGTCAAGCACAAATCTATTTGGCAAAGTGTATATACCATTTAAACAGATCTTATGATTATACAGTTAGTAAATTCTTCTGGGTTTTTTGTTTTTTTTTTTTAATGTTACCTTTAAAACCCTTCTGATGTGTGTCCCGCTGCCTAGGAAGATTCAATCCTTACAATTTAACTCCAGTACAGCTTTTTAGATTGGTACTTTTATAAAAAATAATTTCATTTTTTTTCTATGGTAATTTTAGGTAACAGGTTCCTATCATGTTCTCCCAATTTGGGATATGAATGCTGACGGTTTTGCTACAAAACATACATTGTTGCCCAGTTTTCCTATAATATTAGTTAGACAAGAGTTTGTTGATGTTGACTATGCCTGATGATTTCGTTGCTCTTTAAAAGTCTTTCAATAACATTATAGCCCATATGCTTGCATAAATCTATGGACCCTTCCCAGCGCTCTCTGGATTCTTGGTTCTGTATGATTTTGTATGTTATATTTAGTTCTGGTACAAGTAGATCTCTTTGGTAGCAGTTCCAGTTGTGCCCACAGACTTCTAGTTTATCAGAAGAGACTTGAAGCTGTCAACATGCCCTTGGTAAAAACAGCAGTAACTGAGTTCCATAATATACCACAGTTTAGGAGCATAAAAAAATCAACCAAGGGCAGCCAGTCTATCGAAAAATCTTTGCAGACAGTAGTGTGCATTGGCCAACAATACTTTTCATATGTGCTTTTGCATCTATTGGCATTTATTTGTTTCCCCTTATCCTCAGGATTCCTCCACTGGACAGCTTGACTAATTTTATAGTCATATTCTGGGAGGGTGGCTACAGCAGCCACTACTAATATCTGACAATCTGGATGGTTTGGGATAGATAAAGTAGTTTTTAGAAAATGGATTTTAATTTATTTTTTTCCTGTTTCATGAAAGGTGTTTCTGAAGCTACTGCAGGACTCAGAGAAGATGCCTGATGTTCCACACGCAGCACACCTGGACCATACAAATGGTGCTGAATCATCTTGTAAGTATAAAATTAGGTACCTTCTGAAGCAGCCAGATTTATAAAGATCACAAATACATAGGTAAACATGCACAAAATTCCCAAAGTTGAGGAATGCACAAGCAGATTGAGAATACTGCCTGATATCATCTAGTAATTCTTTTTTTTTGGTCTGTGTAATGTGATCTGCCTTGGGTAGTAAGTTTTCATGTGCACTGTGATTCACCTATTCACCTCTGTAGCACATTGCAGATGCCTTTCCACCATTCTGCTATGTATAAACGTGAACACAAACATTAACATACTGCTTCCTACTAGAAGACCCTGACAAAAAAATATTTTGACTCATACTGACAATGGATAAATACTACTGAAGTATACCACAGATATAAAATCTGGAAGCTATTAGAAAGATGTATTCATCTCCATCTATGTGTAAATAAAAAAATAAATAAAAGCTGTTGCCCAATGTAGTAGAAGATCATTTGTCCTCTCAAGTGGCATGTTATTTCAGGTTCCCTTCCATGCTTGCTTGTTTTAAAACCATTTCCTTCATGCTTTTCATTTTCCTGCCCTGCAAGCCTTGGAGGAGCTCCTCATTAACATTTCTGAAACCTTAGGAAGCTTCTTATACAAATTACTAAAGTGATACCTTGCAAAATGCAAGACTCAAGTTCTCTAAAACCAGCGTCTGCCAAGCTGATCAACATTTTCTCACTGGTCCTGGGATTCTCATGCTTCTATATTTAGCAGGTTCCTTTCTATTTGAGGGTTTATATCTAGGTTATACTCTTCTTCAGTTAGATGTCAAACATTTTATTCTATATCATAGAATCACAGAATGATTTGGGTTGGAAGGGACCTTGAAGATCATTTAGTTCCAATGCCCTGCCATGGGCAAGGACACCTTCCACTAGACCAGGTTGCTCAAAGCTCCGTCCAATCTGCCCTTGAACACTTCCAGGGGTGTTCACAACTTCATGTGCAGTCCTTCTTATTTTGTTTCTATAGAACACAGTCATAGAGAGGTTCTGGTCTGTGACTGAAGACCTTTATTGTTACAGTAATGGAAATAATAATTTTGAACCAAGCTTCTGTTCGTTGTTAAGATAAATTCAGTTGGATCTGTGTCCTGGGTTCAGCTACAGCAGTCATTTTTTCTCCTTCTTAGTAGCTGGTGCAGTGCTGTGTTTTTGACTTTCAGTCTGGGAACAACGCTGATAACACCGATGTTTTTAGTTGTTGCTAAGTAATGTTTACTCTGATCAAGGACTTTCTCAGTCTCATGCTCTGCCAGGGAGGAGGGGAAGCCAGGAGGAAGCAGAGACAGGACACCTGACCCAAACTGGCCAAAGGGCTATTCCATACCACAGCACGTCATGCCCAGTATAGAAACTGGGGGGAGTTACCCGGAAGGCCCAGATCGCTTCTCGGGTCGGGCTGGGTATTGGTTGGCGGGTGGTGAGCGGTTGTGTCCTTTTCCCTTGTTATTCCTCTTATCATTATTACTGGTGTTAGCAGTAGTGGTTTGTATTATACCTTAGTTACTGGAGTGCTGTTATCTCAACCCGTGGGAGTTACATTCCTCTGATTCTCCTCCCCATCCCTCCAGGAGTGGGGGGAGGAAAGAAGGGGGGGAGGGGGGTGTGAGCGAGCGGCTGCGTGGTTCCAAGTTGCCGGCTGGGCTTAAACCACGACAATCTGCCAGTAATGAGTAATCAGTGCCAAGAATTGTGGCCTGAGAACTTTTCTCCCAAAGTACAAAGACTTGATGAGTTTTTCAGAGGGTCTTTTTGCTGGACTATTTCAGTCCCTGTTGAATCAATGAAGATGTAACTATATAGCAAAAACCCCCACTGACTGGTGAGAAGATGACTTCCATTACAATACAGTTTTGAACATCCCTTTATTTTACAACCATCAATTGTGTATTTTTTTCAAGGCTCAGCTAGGATACCCAAACCAATTTCAAATTAAAACAGTCTGTCATCTTCACGTTGCATTTTCCTTAGAGTAATATTTATGGTTCCTAAAGTAGTGAAAACAGAATATGCTGTGCCTAACAATTTCATATCTTTCACCATCTGCATTTCAAAACACATAACTTAGTATTTGTTCAAGTTATTACATTAATAAAGAATCTAGTAATCAGAGACTCTAGTATTTCAGTCTGGTAAATTATAGCAAGAAAATGTAATGATAATGCTGCATCTTTGGGGATGAGTGTATTGAGTGTAGTGGAAAATTGTCATTCGTTGCAGATGACTGTCATTCATCATTAAGGACAGTTGTGAAGTGTAGGCATAAGGGATCTGGGAAATGGTCATGAAAGGTATCCATCATTGTCAAAGCTAAACTGAATACTCCGTGGACAATAGCTTGACCTGTATAACTTTGTCTTTGAAAGCACATTCAAAGGCAGTTAAACTTTCTGTTGTCAAAGTAGTCAAATGAATTTTCAAAATCCCCTGGAGCAAACAGCTGGGTTATTGAGAAGATCACAGGATGCTGCTATTTGATTTGTAAAGGAATTTGGACTAGAGAGCTGCTTTGACAGAGCATGGATCTGAGCACAAGCAGAAGTATTGTCTATCTTTACTGGTACTCAGCTCCTGAGGCTTCAGGACAGCGTAGAAACCAAAATGTCGTTTCTTGTCTCCCAGACAAGAGCAGCATACATGTCCCTTCTTAAATGAAACTACAAAAAATCAGTACATGATTTAGGCTGATGACCAGTGCCAAAACCAGGCAAGAGCCATCACTTCAGCAAAATATGACAGCATCTCACCAAAGTTGGAGTTTGATAATTTCTGGTTATATTTTACAGTGTCTTATTATATTGGGTCTGACTGGAATGGCATTAATTTTTCACAAAACAGCCCTTATGGTGCTGTACTTCGGATTTGTGACTAAAACAGTGTTAGTAGTAGACCAGTGTTTTGGTTATTGCTGAGCAGTGCTTGCAGTGTCAATGCTCTTTTTCCCATTCTGCCTCTCCTCCCTGTGGTAAGGCTGAGTGTGAGCAAGAAGCTGGGAGAGCACATGACCTGGATAGCTGAGCCATTGCTACCAGACTCAAATGATTACCTTTGCATTCCTTGGGATTTTTTGTTGTTTGGTTGTTTTAAGGTTTTGGGGTTTTTTGTTTTGCTTTGTTTTGTTTTGTTTTTTTTTCCCTTCTTTTTTCCTTCACAAGTTTTCTTGGTTGCTCTCTTCTTAGTCTCTCCCCCATCCTGCTGGCAGACAAAGGGTGAGCTAGCAGCTGTGGGGTGCTTAGCTGCTGGCCAGCATCAACACACCACATACACGTAAAATAAACTCAGAATTATTTGACCCATTTCTGAATGCAAATATTAAATAGCAGTCCATTCATTAAATTAAGTAACAATTCCAATATTGGTAATTTTAAGAAACAAAGCATACTTTGTAATTTCCAGTGGGTTAAATTTTCTCTGTGGAAGGTTAACTCATAATATTTAGTTTATTCCAATTAAAAAAACTTGGAATAAGACTCACCTTTTGGTGAGAACTGTTAACAATTTTAAGTCAGGAAATGCCTATGAATGCAGGCATAATACATGCATATATTACAATAAAAACATGCATAATTAATTTCTACACAGCTGAGGCACACAATTGATGGTTATTGTTTTGTAGATATATACAGAGCATGCAGAAAAAAAGTTGGACTGAGATTGCGGTAACTGCATGACAAGATCATTGGAGCCAAATAGCCTTGAGAAAATGGAGAAGCCAACCCTATGGAGTCCTATAAAAGTATCATAAACTACAGCAAGCAGTCTGTGTACACAAATTATCAGGAGAGATAAGAGAAAGTATAAAGGGTGACTAGTTAACCGTGGATAAATAACAGAATATTCTGAGTGTATGCAAAAACAAGCAATAGACTGGAGAATGAGCTCATTGGATCATTAAGGGACCAGTGCTGCTAAGTTGAAATATGCAGATATCTTGCTAAAGAGGCAAATCAATTTTGTAACATTCTACATCTTGGAGATTTTTGGAAGTTACCAACTTTGAGTATAATCTCTTCTGGCAGGAAAATGCAGTTGGAACCTCAGATATAGTGAAAACTAAACTGTAGAAAATTCAAAATGGATAAAATTATATTTTTCACACAGTAAAAAATTACATTACTAAATGTCTTTCAACTTCTTCAATAAATTAGCCACTGAGAGTGTTAGAGTGGAAGCAGGTTGATGCATAACTAATTTTTATGGTTGCTTACACCTTTCTCTGAAACAGCTGCAGCTGTTATTAGCCATTTTAAAGGATTTGGGGCAAAATATTACATTGCTCCTATTAGGATTGAAGAGATCAACAACATACACTACTTAATAAAGCACATCTGAAAGCTAATTTAGTTCAGCAATTGTATCTGAAAAAAGCAGTCATCGATAGTAAAACATCACACTGCAGAGCCTTCAGTGAATTTTAACTGGGTTTCAGCTCTGCCTTTGGATTATTATCATCAGGGATACTGAAGTATATATAACCTTGCTTATGGAAAAAAATTAAAAAGGGGACTGCTGCAAGGTATTGGTAGAATGCTAATGAGTCATTCCTAAAGAGTGACTTAGAGCACTTGAAAAGCTGAATCTATTCTAAATAAAATGTGGTTTAATTAAGCTAAATGCTGGGCAGTCTATGTAATGTGGAGTAATATCCTAGAAAACATTGACTTTGAAAGTTGCCTGCTAATCTTAGCAAAAAGGCATTTTTAGACAGTATAGCTGAGATGATTTATGTTTCAATTTAATGTACAAAAGGATGTGAAGAGGTCATTTTGACTATCAGCACAAAATTGATGAGACTGATGTTACAATAGCATGTACAACTTTTGTGTCCATGTTTTTAAGTTTGAATGTCTTTAAGGAAAGCTGAGAATTTGGAAGTTGAACAGAGAAGAGTTAATACTGGAGGCTGGAGATGAAGTCCTTGTAAGTCCTTATAAAGGCACTGTCAGTGGTCAGTTAATGTAGTTTATGGAATAAAAGATG